ACCACTTTCTCCGGTTAAGTCCTTTGTAAGACCTCCCTCGTTTGATGTTCTTCCTGTCGAGGAAAATAAGGATGAAAGTATTGAAATTCCAATGACTTCTTCTCACTTGCAGTGCTTCAATTGTAAGAACTTTGGTCACATTTCTTCCAAATGTTCTAATTGAGCCATAGTCATTGAAGCATGGAAGAATGTAATAGACGAGCCATTAGCAGATTTAGTTTATGAACCTAAACGTGAAGATTCTGATGACTTGGATGATAGCGAGGACACATCCTTAGGTGGTATTCGGACACTTCCGAAGAATTTAGATATTGTACCCCTTCGTCCCGATACTTTTCGGTCAAGTATTGTATTTAGTATCTTTAATCAGCCCAAAGGTGCTCATGAGTTGCATAATCATGTCATATTTAAGAAAAATCTTGGGAATCAGGATTTGATCCTCCCACCTTTTGAAATTGCATATCTCAATTCTGTGAATCGATCTCTAGGTTTGAGTCCCTCTGAAATTAAGTCTTGATTATAAGCTTAGGAGACCTTTAGACATTATTCTCATGTCTCCGCGTGCTAGCATGGAATAGGAACCTTTACATTATGCATTTACAATTTTATTAAATGAAAAAATCTTTTTCTAATTCGATTCAAAATGTTTTCTAATCCCCCTTCTCCTCTTGGGATTAGAAAACTTTTTGAATCGAATTAGAAAAAGATTTTTTCATTTAATAATATATATATATTAACCAGTCACCATATGTATCTCACTTTCTTCTTTTTGTGCCAACTAAACACTCTCTTGGGTTTTATAAAATAGAATAAAAATACACAGACAATGTCTTCTTCCAAAAAACAGGTTGATTTTGAAAATCTTTGATAAAAAAGAATTTCTGTGATGAAATAATCTATTGCAGGATAAAAATAAATTTAATACCGACGGAGCTAGTATGAACATTCCCCAATCCTCACCAAGTGTTGGTTCCGCTGATAGGCATCAAATAAGGGCTAATATGCTTCACTGTTATTATTTTATAGGAACTAGAAATGATGGTTAAGACAAATAGCTTGCTCGTTTGATTTCCATTCAATTTTCGGCTTTGAGTTTGAAGTTCATTTTTAATTTCCTATTTTAAAGGTCGACTTTAAGATGATTGAAAATGCGATTGTGTTGTCATTCAGAAAAATTATTTCTCAAAATAGAAATTAGAAAACCCATTTGATTTGAAATTTTGAGAAATTATTTTATGGTATTTTATATCATGAAATTATTATGCAGGTAAAATATAACATTTATATTAATATATATTTTAAAATTGGTAAACTTATAATATTTTTCTCTAAAAAAGTAAAATAAATAAAAAAAATTAGATTTGAAAAATATTGAAAAAAAAATTATCACTTCAAAAGAGAATTTTATAATTTATTTCTTTAGAACTTTAGAATTTAATTTTTCAATTTTTTTATTGTTTAGAATTCCTTTTTAAAGGTTTTTTTATTTTTTAAAACTTTTAGAATTTTATTTTCTACAACTTTAAAATTTTATCTTTTTAGAATTTGTGGTTTTTCAGAAGTTTTATCATATAAAATTTTATTTAAACCCTTATTTCCATATTTTGAATGTTTTCAGTTTCTTCATTGAAAACTTTGAGTTTTCTGTTATAAACTTTAACTTTCTATTTGAAAATGCTCGAAAATATTAGACTAAACAAGTTCTTGATGATTTGCAAAATTGAAAAACTAATATAGGATAGAAAACGACAAGCCAAATGCCCCTTTAAACTTTTAGAAATGCAAATACCAATGATGCTAAAACACCAATTTAAGTTATCACATTTAATAAATTTGATTAAATGAATTGTAACATGACTAGTGTTGGATAACATTACTCTTCCAACCAAAAATAAAAAATAAAAAATCCATACAAGAAATATGTCACAGAAAACAAGAACAATCGCCTAAGAATACAGGCAATTTCTCTCTCTACATTTCTTCAATCATTTTTCTATTAAATTATAAAATTATAAACATGAAAAATGTATAAAATTATGCTGTCAATTTTCATCTATACATAAAACTATTAATATCAGTTTAAAATGTAATTGCATACACATGTAACACAATGAAAAAAAAAAAAAAAACATGACACATATTTGAGTTGAAAATCAAGACTTAGGTCATATTTCTTCGGAAATACAACCGCCATATTCTAATAAAATATTGACAAGTATATATTTATACTTATTCAAGAGTAATAATACAATATTTTATTAAAATATTAATATTCATAAAATCGTGCTTCTTTAATAGCAATAAAACAATAAGAACATTAATTTATAAACAACTATGCTTCTTTAGGAATAAGCACATAATATTCTTCAAAATATCAAAACGTAAAAATTTGTGCTATTAGCCAATATTAATTATTTATCTTCAAGACTAACATCGCATTATTCAGTGTTCAGTGTTTTAATGACCGCATAGTTTTAAATTTATACTCTCTCAAGAGTAATATTGAAATGTCCTAATGGATTATTGATGACAAGTAGTAAACAACATTCAAGCAATTAAATTATAAAATTATAAACATGAAAATTGTATAAAATTATGCTGTCAATTTTTATCTATACATAAAACTATTAATATCAGTTTAAAATGTAATTGCATACACATTAAAAAAAGAAAAAAAAAATGACACATATTTGAGTTGAAAATCCACAGACTTAGGTCGTATTTCTTCGGGAATACAACCGCCATACTCTAATAAAATATTGATAAGTATATATTTATACCTATTCAAGAGTAATAATACAATATTTTATTAAATTATTAATATTTATAAAATCGTGCTTCTTTAATAGCAATAAAACAATGAGAACATTAATTTATAAACTATGCTTGTTTTGTAATAAGCACATAATATTCTTCAAAATATTATAATGTAAAAATTTGTGCTATCAGACAATATTAATTCTTTATCTTCAAGACTAACATCGCATTATTCAGTCTTTTAATGAGCGCATCTTCAGGAGCAAATTTAATAAAATAAAAAAAAATAAAAAAATAAAAAGAAGAAAACGAGAACTCTTCCCTAATATTGATAATGATAATTCACAATGATACATTATTCTTCTAAAATATTAGTTTGAAATTTATACTCTCTCAAGAGTAATATTGAAATTCCTTATTGATTATTGATGACAAGTAATAAACAACATTCAAACAAGATGTTTATCATTGAACTCTATAGTCGAAATGATGTAAAGCTATACCATTTTGTTATAATAATACAACCACGAGCAGACTCTGGCTCAGCAGGATGGACAATTAGATCAAAAGAAAAGGTGGTGGACCGGGGGGCATATAGGGTCAATTGACCCCCTAGTTATTGAAAAAAATAAATAAATAAAATCTGCTTCTTCTTATTATTATATATATATTTTTTATTAGAAGGTCAAAATTTAAAACCTATATTATAAATGTGTAATGCAACCGATAGCTTCAAACTTAGCTTTGTGTCTTTGTCTCTCTCTCTCTCTCTCTCTCTCTCAATCTGCGGAATGTCATTACCATTTACAGTTGACCCACCATTTGAAAGTTTGTTATGACTCCCTATCCTCCCCTCAATACAATTTAAAGAAGATGATACTCGTCAATTTGAAGAGGAATGAAAAGCTTCTTTGACAGTTCAATTTGTTAGAGCTTTGTGTCTTGTTTTGAAATAAATAAAAGAATCAATTCATTTTTATTGCTCGACTGACTAGATCTCATGCTAATAATTTGTTATAAAATTAAAGAAAAAGGAAAGAACAATAAAAGAAAAGTAATAGAATCAAAACTCTTAAGAGGTGCTGAATGCCATAAAACAAAAGTTCCACAATTGTCCCAAAATTGAATCGTCTTAGCACCGAGGAACGATCCGTGAGTCAAAAAGATCTTGATGCAGGTAGGGGTGGAGCCAAGAATTTTGTCCAGTACGGGCAAAATTTAATCAAGGTCGAACTTTTCAGTTATGAATTTAATGATATTACGACAGTGCTAAAATAACATAGCGACAACACTAATAAGATAATCATCTTCTTCCTTATTCTAGGATCTATAGTAAGTTGTGCATCATCAAAATCCATTTTATTCGATATCTCCGCATCAACATTTTCTACGAAATATTTTCTTTTAAAGAATCTCTACATTGGCACTTCAGACTAACATAAACTACAAATGACAATTAAGTACTAATTGATAAGTAAAGAACTATTAGTTTTTACAAATTAGTAGAACACCATAAAATCATCACTAATTATTTAACTAATTGACAAAAATCAAAATTTCAAGAATCCATCACAAATATTACCAATATTCAGCATTCACACAATCAAATTCCTTCATGTTAAACAGAAAAATCACATGATCAAAAAATTTTTTGCTACAAATTTGAGAGCCCCAGAAAATATATGTTTCAAGAAACAAATGAATTTTAAAATTATTTCCAAATGACGACGACTTAAAGAAATTTTTTTAGCTCTTGTTGAGAGTAAAGAGTCAGAAAATGTCGCCGTACACTTGGAGTTGAGGTAAATTAGTGTATGAGCTGAACTATAAATAAATAAAAAATATACTTTTATATAAAAATAAAAAAAATAAAAAAAGGATTGCCCATGGTCCCGCCAAAAGTCTAGTGCGGGCATTTGCCTACACTGGATAGTACATGACTCCGCCCATGGACGTAGGGTATTGTTGACTCAGAGATAGCGCGAAAGTTCTCACCATCATTACCTACGTTGCCAAGGAATCTACAAGGGACTAGTCATTTTTTATTGGGAGTTGGAGGGGAAAAAAAATTTACATACAAGCGTTACCAAGTTGCACCTGTAACCGCCTAGTTAGTCCCCCGTATAAGACGGGGAGCAACTCAAACTATTAACTAGACCAATCAATATTTTTCACATTGAGATAACAAATATTTCATATTTATAGTAAATCAAAATGCAAAGGATTTAAGGAGCCATAGCCTGTAAAACACAAAAAAGATCACCAGTCTAATCACTTCGCAGTGAAATTTACAGCAAAAGGTGGACGAATTTCATTAACCACTCTGAATGCATCTCGTTTTTAATTTAAACGTAATCTTTGACAGCACAAACTTAGGAACGAAGGAACTTGGTACCGTGATAGTAAACCAGGAAAAATTAGTTTCTATCTACACATATACATGTTCAGAAGCTTTCGATGTACATCTTCATGAAAGCCATAGAACAAACTGCTTAACCTGCAGGACCAATTGTTTCTATGTGCACTCATCCACCGATAGCACCTGAAGAGGGAAAGAAAAAAAAAAACAAACAAACAAACAAACCAAGATTTTCCGATTTTTCTTAGGGTCGGGTATGGAAAAGGCAGACACAATATTCGATCTGCTATGTCCAATTCCTCTTAGAGCGAAGTTGAGTAAGCATATCCCTCAACAGAGCTGCAGTACCCAATCACAAAGTAAGCATCCGAAAATTGTTGGAAAACCATATAAATTTTTACTTTGTGTGAACAAAGATGCAGAAATAGATAATAAACGCAATTAAATCAGCAAAGATCATATACACAATAATTACACAGTTCTTAGAAACATTCCATGGAACGAATTCAATATCAATATAATAATAGAATAATATAAAAGAATCTTTTCGACAAAAGCCCAGGCGCATAAATATGCTTTTCACTTCACTTCTAATTCCTTTTTCGATGTGGGATAGACTACACGAGGGGGGGAGTTCAATAAAACCAGCACAATATCACACAAAGTAATAGTTTGCTTGATCTTATTTGGGATTAAAAATATGCTGCATACTGATATCTTACGACCGTACTGGTAACAATTAAAAGTTGTGAATAGATTCTATAACCCTTGGTTTTCAAATTAAATTCCAATAGATAATGGTAGAAAAGCAAGAGCAATTAAGATTTCCGAAGACATTTTAAAAGGGTTAGAATGTATACCTGCATCTCTGTATCGTTCCTCAACAGCAGCAATTAGCATGTTGCGCAAGAGATTAAATTCCTCTGTTTCAATGCATGGCTGCCCAGTAGGCCTGCACCCACAACAACTTAGTTAGACCATATGAGAATTGCTAAAACGTCCCTCCACGCCCATACGGATTAATGATAATATAAGAATGTTAGTTGCCTCAAAAATCGTAGTCAAGAATGTGTAATCTCAAAGTTCAATTCTTCCACCACTAAGAGTAAACATGCCCTTGCCATGAACGGCATCAACCACCACCATGAATGATTCCCAAAACACTCATTTGGTACTTCATATTGGACTGGAATGGACGGGACGGGATTGGATTGGAAAGTATAGTACTACTTTTCTTAAAGGAGGTCCCGGAAATATTGGCCATACCTGTCCAACTCAGTGAATAGTGAAACATCTGATAATGAGCTCTGGACAGACACTTTTGCAGATTCAATAACCCTCATTCCATCGCTGTAGGCCAAGTATTTATTGACATGTATTGGCACCTGTCAGATCAAAAAACCACATAAGATTTCATTATTCGGAGAGTACTAATTAAATTCAAAAAGTTTGAAATGTAAGAAAGGTAAAATATGAGCTAGTTCTGTGACTGTAATTTATTGCTATCATTCTCATAAGTCTAAGAACGCAACTAGGCTTCTAACCTTCTAATTCACCTTATCATCCCAGAGCCCAACTGAAAAGAATATATAAGACAACTCCCTTGTAAAAGGAGGCCATGAAACGTGAAGCTGTATGGATTAAACCATGAAATTCGACTTATAATGTCTACATATATTATCCTATCTGACACAAATTCATGATTGTCAGCAACTCGAAAGATGCAGCATCTTGCCATCAAATTTGACTCGTAAATAAATAAATAAATAAATAATTGTAGAAGTCAGAAGCCAAGTCCAATAAGCAAATGGAAGATTACGTTGCAATTGCAAACATCTAAAATGATCACAATACAAAAAAAATTTATTTGGACTGATGTCTTTCGCAGAATGGGTTATTCAGGAAAGTAAAAAAGAAGGGTCTTAAATCACAATTGTATTCACTTCAGTTTCTATTTTCCGCAGATTTATGGATATTCCATAGTAAATATTTCTTCCAACATAAGCGCACAAAATGGCAAATCTGACAAGTAAAAAGAAGCACCCCATATACAAAAAAAAACAAAAAACAAAAAAAACTAGGAGGTACTCTAAAAATTTAGCAAAATTACCTTGCATTTCACAGCAATGTTAATGGCATCTGAAGGTCGCAGATCAAAGCTGACACATTCTGCTTCATTGTCCAACTACAATCATAGAGAAGAGAGTAAAATACCTAACTCTATAAAAGGTTGTTTATGTGGTGCTTCACACACGTGTCCATGATTGTTAGACAGTGACACGGCACCCTAGGAGTGTGTGTGATTTCATAGGTTGAGTTTTTCCACATTTCACTGATTCACCCTATAGTGGTATCACTAACAAATATCTAATATACCTTTACAAGCTGTAACTCAGCAAAATATGCCTCATGTACCCTCTTGGTGACTCGAACAAGTTTCACCTGTAAAATGGGCAAGCATAAATCAGCAGAAGGAACAGAATAATGTCCACTGGTATTATCGAAGAGTAATCAGGCAAGTGTAATAAGATATTCACATGCTCACCGTGTAGCCCATCTTCTCAATCATATCCTTCACTACTTGATAAACTGTAGGCCTAGCCTGAATACAGCCAATAACTTAGCTTTCAGCGAAACATGATTTGAGGAGAAATCCCCCATATAAGTTTGAAATCTCAGGCAGAACTGACACGAATGAAACTTACAATCTGGACATTGCGAACAGCTGCCATGAGCAGCACACTTGGCATCTCCACTGTTATAAAAGAAACATAAGAACAACAGATAGTAAAGTATCAATCTAACACTGTAAAAGAAAAAAGAAAAAAGAAAAAAGAAAGTAATCACAGTTCAATATGAGCGTACAAACAATTATAGGGAGAAGAAGGCCTGTTCCATCTTCCATCTTCAATACGATTGCCGGATGTGGAGCATAATCTGGCAGATGACCCCCTTGTGGATTATTATGGACACATCTCAAATGCCTACCATCTCTCATCTTGATCATGAAACCATCCGGGCTGCTCCTCACCTCAACTAAACAATCAAATAGATACAACTATCATTTCGGACATCATCTGACCAAAATTTTCCTATTAAATAATGAGCGAAAACAAGAATATGGGGAAAAGATTATACTTTACATATGTAAGACCGGGAAGAGAGTAGCACCAAATTGGAGCTTGCTTTAAATTTTCAATCAGACGTGATTTTCTTGAAGAAAACAAAAAATGATACAGGCAGGAATATGAGCAATCTTTAAAAATTACATCCTAATTTCCAATATACAGATTCTGAATTCTCGTGTCATATTTGGGAACTCAACAAATAAAATAAAATAGTTTTTCATATATATCTAAGAGACAATGATTGAAAAATATTGAAATGGAAACAAACAATTTTAATTTCAAAATACTATACCAGCTTCAACCACACTGGAATTCACATAATCAGCATCATTCTCGTTGGAATTCCCGGCCATGCTACCATTACCATTCGAAGATGAACTGAAACTACACATTATTGTCTTGCCTTTAGGTGAATACTGTCTATAACTTACATTTATTCTATCACTGTTGATTCCCCTAATCCCCCAGAATCTGATATACTTAGCTTTTGAGAAGGGTGATTTAACCGGTACAGAGTACAATCCTGATTGTTTTGCCCGGACCATTGGGCAAAGAACTGGACCATGAAGAGAACCCATCTCAAATCCTCTGCAATCCATAATAAAATTAATAAAGATACAATCATTCACCCAATATGCAACATCGAATAATCTATTAAATGATTACAAAAAAATCAATTCATCTGTTTTTATAATTACTTGTCAGAAAGAAGAATATTGATTACTTGCGGAAAAAAGATTCTTGAAAAAGATTTTTCATATAAAAATACAATAAAAATAATTAATTACATATATCAAATGTTAATAAGTTCTATCAACTGAAGAAGAGATATTACATAAAATAACCGATAAAAAAATAAGGAGCTTAGTTTTCATCTTAATAAACGCAACATAGTCAAATTAAGCCGAGATTAAATTAATATCTCACCAAAACGAAATTCAGCTGAGTAATTGTAACAAAAAAATATAAAATATCTCCTTTTCTTCTCTGGGATAAGCTTTTGCTTTTTATCTTTATCAGAACACTTGTTCTAAAAATAAAAAATAAAAACAAACGAACAAACGAACAGATTACAAGATATATTGTTGTGTAAATAATATCACACCTAAAAACACCTCCGGATATATTCTTCAACAAGCTTGATCAAGAACTTCCCTCTCGCCGATCGTCGATTTGAGGACACAGTAAAAATCTTCACTTTTTTCTTAACAAAATTCACAGAGTCACAAACTTATGGCAAATTTAACAGATAAGCATAAAGGAAAAAAATCAATCTGACTAAAAAAAGCAAGGCACATACATACAAAATGCATATACCTGAAGGTTGAAAGGAGAGATGGGAATGGAGAGTTTGGATAGTAAACGACCGACGAGAGAGGGCGACTAGATAAAGGAAATAAGAATTGGTGTAAATTAGAGAGAGAAAGGAGGAAGATGGATAGATTTTTCTTGGAGTAGAGACTGTGTTACAATCAAAAGACCGAAGAACGAATGAATTAGGACATTATAGGCAGTGTGTCTTGGAATTCTTACGATTCTTCTGTACGCTTTTATGTTTAAAGACGGATGTACCCTTCTTTAGATGGTGGCACATCTTCGGTTAAATAATTTTGATGTTTGGGAGACATTTTTATATAAAAATATATTTTTGTATAATAAATTGATAAAAAATGTGTGATTGAAAAATAAGAAAATTTTTTAGATTTACGTGTAATATTGTTTTAATAAAAAATATGTGGTTGAAAAAAAATACATTTTGAAAAAATGAGTATCAAACGAGGTTTCAATAAGTCTTTTAAGCCCTTTGTAGTTAAATTAAAATTTATTTTTCTCCATCTTTTTATTAATAATATATTTTTTAATAAAATAATAATATACGTAAATCTAAAAAAAAATCTTCCTTTTTAATTAAATATTTTTCAAAAAATTACTATTTCTTTCATTATAATTCGAAATAATGGGGCCCAAATAGGGACTTAGTATTGATTTTGTGAAAATTATTTTTTCCGAAAATTATGTAATTAAAAATAAAAAATATGAATTCACCTGAAAAATTATTTTATTTAGAAAAAATACATGATTGAAAAAATGGGGATCGAACATGGGCTAAATATAAAAAAATTTGTAATTTTACTTTCTTGAGTAAATGTTGACCCCCTATTTGTGGCTCATTTTTTATACAAGAAAATGCATTATTCAACCGTTACCAATCAAATCAGCCGTATTTATCGACTCATACTTACAGGTGGGCCCCAATCAGAGCAGGTAACGATCAAAAAATTTCTAATCATGACCTGAAAAATGAGCCTCCAAATAGGGGCTGAATAATATAAGTTATTTAGGATACGTCTCAAAAGATATTTTAAAGAAGATACAATTTATAAATATAGATAAATAAGAGTTTTATTTTTGTAAAAATAATACATTTCGTGGTCGTATAGTAGAATATTTATCATCCATATAGAAAAAAAGCGATATTAATTTATATTATATGTGCCAAATAGCATAAGAACCAAAGGAAGTCAACACTAGCAGTTTAATTAATCTGGCTTCTTATGAGAATTTAATTTACAAATTATTTATTTTTAATATGTTACGAGACATTAGACTCATATTACAATTTCTCATACATTGGAAAATAATATTGAATGGCACATTAGTTTTTTCTTTTATTTTAGAGCAATGGTGTATTTTACTATGTATTATTTTCTTATAATACTGCTTTTCAATTATGAGCTTGTATGGTGGGGAATTTTGTAAATTGATTTTTTGACAGTTAGAGATAAAATTGGTCATATCTGTGAGAAAGAATTCAAAAATAAAGACTAAATTAGTGAAATAACGATCAAAAAATTAATTTTAATTGAACAAATATCCATACCAAACAAGCGCTATATAATTTCCAATAGTTAGAGTCTGTTCGGGAGAGATTTTTTCTCCCAAAAAATTGATTTTTTGATCGTTATTTCACTATTTCAATCGTCATATTCGACTTCTTCTCTCACAAGTGGATCCCACTCTTCTTCCAACGGCAAAAAAATCAATTCTCAAAATCACTCCCAAACATGCTCTAAATTTTTTGACACAAGATTTGTCGTAATAGAAAATAAATTAATGAATTATTGCTTTTATATGATTTTTTTTTTACGTTAAAGGGTATTTGTGAGTTTTCACACGAAGGTGCGGTTTGTTGCTTTATATTACGTTAGCATTTGGCATTTATACGAAACTGACACAAACTGCAATGCCGGCGCCGATATCGTAGCTCTTAGATGAGTGCCACGTGTAAATCTGTTACTCATACGATCTGGATAAGGAGTCCTTGAATCTAAATTATGGTAATTTGAGGCCTTCCTTTGCAAAACTCCGTGGTCCGTTGCCCGTTAAAATCTCATTACATTAAATTCAATTATGCCCTTATTTGAGTCATATTATTACAATAAAAATACATTTTTAAATAGTATATTGATGAGAATAGATGATTAAAAAATAATGAAAAATTTTAAATTTACACCTAATATTATTTTATTTAAAAATGTGGAATTAAAATGATGTCAAATTACTGTTGAATAATACATTTTTAAATAATGTGGCTCAAACAAGGTCTATATTCTATTTTTTCTTTTCTATTTTTAACTTCATAATTTTTTATAAAATAATAGTAAATATAAATCAAAAAATATATTTTTTTTAATCATTCATTTTTCAAAAAAATATTATTGCACTCGTTCTCATTACCAAAAATTTGGGTGGGGGGTGGGGGGTGGGGAATCTCACTGTTGATTGTACAGGAACTTTAAAGTCGCGACAAAACGAAAAAAGACAAGAAAATGAGAGTGAAATTTCTTATATTTTGTTTTGGGAGTAAATGTACAAATTGGAGAATGAATTTAACCCTTGTTTCATCTCTATTATTTTCAAAATATATTTTTTTTCTCTTCCTTTCAATTACACATTTTTCAATAAAATAATATTACACATAAATCATAATTTTTCTTTATTTTTTAATCACATTCTCCGTCAATTTACTAATCCAAAATACATTTTTAGCTAGAGAGGAGCTCAAACAGGTATTTAATGTCAATCGATTTTAAAATGAGATTTACTTAAGTATCCAATTTAAGTACAAGTACCATAACACGTTGGTTCAATCTCGATCAAGTCTATTTGTGCTTGTGTTTTTTTACCAAGATAAGCAGTGGGACATGAAGGGTCAGTCGTAGACTATAGCCGTGCTACATAACCCAACTGGATGACCGCACACACACATGGGGGGTCAGAATTATTTTATTTGCACGAGATCCACGCATCCAATGTGAGGGTGCGATCATAGGGAGGTGTAATCCGTGCGGGTCAAGTGGCATTATTCCATAGACTATCCCACCTCACAAGCTATATTGGCATGTAGGTACGACCTTTCAAGAGGGCGAGGTAGGTTAGGATCCCTTTGTCCTTTTTGTCACTGCGAAGGGTATGTTTTAGCCGGATTTATAAAAAGTTAAAAATTGATTTTAAATTTATTTAGAAGGTGTTTTGTAGGAATTAAAATTACGATCCATTTACAAAAATAAAATTTTGGTAGAAAGAAAATGAATTCTAGGGAATTGAATTGCCTAAAACTTATTTTACTGAGAATTGTTAATTAAATGTATTTGATTGGTATAATTTTTCACCTGAAAATTTGTTGAAATTTTGGATCTCTTGGTGTTCATTTGACTTTATTTTTCATGAAAATTGTCAATTAAATAGATAGATTTTTTTTACAATTGTGGATAAAATTTGTTTCCATTGCAAAAAAAAATTAAATTTTTCTTAAAAAAAAAAAGCGGAAAAACTCATTTTCTCACCAAAACCCAAGGAATTAGAATTCTTTCAAAACCAAGAAAATGGGGCCACGTGAGGGAGAAGTGGAAAGGTAATTCTATGGAAAATTTTGGGAATCAAACAACACAAATTGGGTGGAAAATTCTATTTTCCATGAAAAATGGCTCTATCAAACATACTCTTAGATCTTTTAGTAGATCGTCATAAAAGTTTTTTAAATGTGTAGTTAAAAAGTTGTGCAACCTATGAAAGATGTGTTTAATATATGATTGTTTGACTTTGATTTAGATTAAAATTAAATTTTAATCCGTACCAAACGGGGTGTTAGTGCATGTTTAGTTCTAATTTTTCACGTTAAAAAATCAATTTTTGACCATTACTTCCCTAAGACAGTCGTCATTTTTGACTTCTTCTCTCATAGGTGGGATTCACTTTTCTCTTTAACGTTCAAAAAATCGATTTTTCATAATCACTTCCGACCAAGCCCTTAAATTATTTTTTCAAAACTTTTTCTTAAAAAAAAAATGGTAGTAAAATCTATTCTAAACAAACCCAAATTCTTTGCGTAGAAATTATTGCCAAAGAATTAAACTACAATACATATTAGATAAATTATGCTAGTGGACATCTTTGTCGTGTCAAGAAATTAATTTATGCAGGGGAATTAAAATATAATTATTTGCCTATTAAAAATGATAAAATTGGTGGGCTAAATAGGATTATAATAAACAATCTTGATGGAGAAAACGGAACCAAAAAACACTATCCTTAGCGGCCAAGAATTGAAGCTAACATATAGAATATATAATGTGGTTAATGTTTGTTTATTCAATTCAAATGTCACGATTTGTTTGCTAAGGTGTAATGCACGCTAATGGATGATTTAAAAATTAAAATTTGTTTATCAAATTTGTGAAGTACACTTGTTAGGTAAATTGTATAACAAAGTAGGGATTAAAAATATGAAAGAAATGTTGCACCATTGCACCATTGGTCCCCTGATTTCTACAGCACTATTTCATCATATAAGCATGTCTGCTCTAGCTTTTGCACCCCAAAAAAAAATCCTTTTTTTTTTTTTCCCTTCAGCCAGGTCCCGCATGTGAGAGAATTGGTCAAAAATTTCGACTGCAACGGTCCCCAAAAAAAATATTGGTACCGGACAACCTCTACATGTCGTAAATAAATGAGAGAAGCAATTACAAAATTGAAACTCATAGAAGTTACATTGTAATCTATGAAATTGACGGGGATATGGTGTATTCATATTGTATATTTAGGAATCAAGGTTGTGGGATTTATGGACATTCATGATTTACAACACTTCCTCTTGGATGTTCATTATACAAAGTATTATGACTCTGTTGACACATAAAAATTCAACTCAAATCGAACAGCCCAAGGAGTAAAGTCCAATTGGAGGATCCCCAAATCAGATAGTCTAAAGAACGAAGTCCAATCGAACGAATCAAGGTGAAGGCCCAAATAAGGGGCCCAAGAATGCGGTAACGCCATCGCCCAAGTTTGCAAGTCGCCCAGAATCTGAACGAATAGAGTGTCATACGGTCGCCCAGAGCTGTTATTCTATTCTCGCCCAAACCTTCAAGTCGCCCAAAGTATCAACAGACATAACGCATCGTGGTTATCAAGAAGTGCAGTTATCAAGGCAG